CCCGCCGCCTCGGTGCTCCTGGTCGTGCCTCTTCGGTGGGGTGCGCGGAGGGCGCTGGAGCTGGTGCTGGGCGGAGGGTGACCTGGCAGCCTGGGTGCCTGCTTCCTGGCTAGTGGTGAAGTGGTGGCAGGGCAATCTCGGCGTGCCCGCAGGTGAATCATAGGGGAATAAAAGGAAGTCTCCTCCCTCCCCGTGGCGTGACTGCGTTTGGTTTTATCGGTGCTGGAGGGCTGTATATCTTGTATGTCTGTTTAAAAGAAGATATTTTATCTTACCCCTGTCAGGTGTGCAACGCAAGGGAAATTCCTCTAGAGCACAACCCCGTGGTAACACACTTCTAAAAAAAACTTTACTAGATGACTTTGGGATCTAACCTGCTTTTCCAGCGTTCAGATCGTTCTAACATACAGGTCAAGGGAGTGATGGCAATAGCGCTGTAGTCTAGAAGCCCAGCTGCAGCAAGCTTTGGGCTGCCCAGGAGCATTCTGAGCTTTAGTGAAGGCTTACTGCAAAAGGTGTGGGATAACTGCACAAAGTGGAATCTCTGCTGCTTCAGTGAAGGCAGAAGGTGAGGACAAAGGCTGTGGTTTATAAATAATTTGCCACTAAGTGTCCACTTAAAGGAAGGAGTGAGAGAACATTGGTCAAGCGTGTCAGGGCCTCCTGTACGCACATATTGCTTAATAGGAAAGGAGGGATAACTCCAAGTGACTAAAATATGCCTTGTGCCACGATGAATAAAATAATGTCCCCTGACATTATTTCAGTCATCCTGAACCTCTTAGTGGTTTGAACCAAACATGGTATTTGGTACGATGTTTGTTACAAAAGGCCAGTTTCAATAGTTTCGATTAGGAGTCAAAATTTGTGAGCTGGGTTTTCTAAGATACAAAGGTGTATTTAAAAAAAATTTTTTTTTCCTTCTTTTTTCAGGTGTGTCAAGGAACCAAACTCACAGAACCTGCAGCTGGACTGAGGACAGTTGGTCTAAGGGTAGTTGTGCACAGGTTCTAGAAAACAGCAGCAGTTACTTTCCCATATTCAAAACTGAGACTGTTGAATTATTAGCTTTACCCCATTCAGTAAATAATCGTCTTAGACATCTATGGTCCAGAAATTCTAATGGGCATTATGAAAGGTGATGATGTAATAGTATTTTGAATGTGCTCGTGAGAAACATGGGGAGAAAAGGCTTGGCGAATGTAAACAAGATGTTAGATGGGCCAGCTGTTTTCTCAGTGCAAGGAAAACATTTGTCCCATTTATACGTGTACTTTGCTCCTGAAATTTGTTTCTGAGCTATGTTCAGCTTGCACTAGAGAGCTCGTTCACCTGGACAATTTCAAAGCGTCTGAGGGAAGATACTTTCCAAGAAACTCTTGGATTAGGACAATAATAATCCTCTCAGTGTGTCTTCTGCACTTCCAAGCAGCTATTCCCCTCCAGGTTATCTCTGCTAGACTGTATCCTTGCAGTATTGTATGGAGGGATGGCAAATTCTTGTGATCTTGGAATTTTCTTTTTCTAAAGCAATGTCTTTATATTGATCCTTTACTCTGATTTCAGTATGCAGATATCCTCTTTCATGCAGCCGCTGCTTGTGGACTAGGAAAGCAAGAGTGTATTTTACATTTCATAGCATTATAACCAACCATTTCTACTTTAAGGCTCTAGCTGCTCTGTATGTGTTGTGCCTTGTAGCAGTGTGGTGGAAGAAATCCTCAAATTCTTAATCCCACAGGAAGTGCTGAAAACATGACGACTCCACATAAGAGCTCTTAAATGGGCTATAGTTGTTTCCAGTTATGTGCATTTTTGAGTAATTTCTCAAAAATTATGGTGATGTGATTCAGAAATGCAATGGTGTTTTTCCAAAAGGTGTTTTTCAGGAATCTGAAAAGAAACTGCAACTTTTTAATCACATTTTTACCATCCATCACTCTTTGTTAAGGGTCAACAGTTGCTAAGTTTAGCCTGAGACTTGAAAAATATGTTTTCAGTGTTCTCAGCTATACTCTTAAAGCCACCAGTGTATTCAGTCTCTGAACAGTGCCAAAAGCTACACAAAAAAAAAAAAAAAAACCAAACCAAACACCCCACACCCCAAAACAGTGTGTGAAGTGACCGCAAATTGCTGCTGTATTTCATTTTATGCTGGCCAATGGCTGAAGTCATATGCATGGACAGATAGACAAGAAGTTACAGGAATAATAGACTGCTTGAAAATGCTGTCATACACACTGATGAGTACCAGCCACTCTGAAAATTATTTTTGGAAAAGTTATCTTTGTTGATAACTTCATCTGACAGTAAATGTTTTTTCAAGGAAAGACCGATACTGAGTAAGGAAAGAAATTTTGGATTACTTTGTCAACATTCTGTAAATTTAGTCACAGATTCATTGATATGAAACCTCTTTGGAAGAAGTTTGTTGCTTAGCGTTAACATCTTGAACTTGTTCAGTACAAGAAATTTCAAACTTTTGAAGATTTCTTGTGGTAAGCAGCGTGGCTGTAGGACCACGTATCATCTACTCTGTGGTACATAGCTCTCCATACATAGGCTCTTATCTCAAGTTTAAAAAAGCACAGCAAACCCAAGTAGTCAGAAGTGCTTATGCCTCTACTGAATGAACGATCTTCCTTGCCTGCTTTCAGGATGAATTTTTAAACTGTTTTCTTTGGAAAGTATGAGATAGAAATGTCCAGCTAAACACTTAGCTGAAAATCTGAAAAACCTCCATAATAGTTAGCAATTGATCACTAAGTTCATCACACTATATATACTGACCAGTCCTCTCTGACTGTTTTTTGTTATTTAGCACACCAATTCTTCCTGTGCTTTCGTATTATTCTTTATGCATTCTCCTAAGAGCAAGTGGTAATCCACATGATCAACACAGGTAAACATTTGCTTTATTCTCTGCTAAGCAGGTCTGCTTCATAACCACAGCAGATGAGCTGTGGTTACAGTTGCAAACTTGACAATTTCTGTGAAGCTTGGTATCTAACTTGTCTGATATGAATAGTATGTACTACAGACAAGATATATACATCTAAAAAACTTCATGAAAATGAATTTGTGACCTTAGTGACGGTTTAGATAAATAGTTGATATTTCAGTTAGGTAACAGAATACAGATGCTAACATGTCACCATACAGAAAGTTGGAGGTTTTTTCTGTTGCATATTCATGATGAAATAACTTAATCCTTAAAGACACATTAGAATAGAATTAAACACAATTAACAGCGTGCTTGCTGCAAAGTTGCTTTTTTTCCATGAGAGAAATGTTAGCATACACAAAGTAATATTTTGTTGGTAAAGTCCAAGACCTGAGAACTTGTTTTCATGCTAAATAGGGATTAAAACCTGCTACTGTTGATATTCTTATGTGTAACTAACTTCCAGAATACTTCACTGTAAACTGTGGCCTCAAATCATTGACTTTGTTTACTGATGATATATGTCTTAATGAATACAAAAGTGACTCTGTTTAAAAGTGAGTGTAAAGCACCTGTCCTACAGGAGGGGTGCTATAGTACCAGCACTGTCTACAGGGTAACCACCAGCCACTTGATTACTTACATAAAGAGATCAACAGCCTGGAGATATAACAGCAGATTACAATGTAAGAGGAGGATGATTTAATTGTATTTAGATAATAATCTTGCAGAAGACTATCTGTGAGAAGTCACGTAATATGATTCTGGTGGTACACTTTTTGCAGAAAAATACAACAGGCTACAGCCCTCCAAAGTTGTTTATATTTGCAGTGGTGAAGGGATGGTATAGAGAGGAGTTCAGGTGTTTGGCAGTGATGGCCATGGCTTAATGTCATAAGGCAGACTGGTGTTTCTGTTAATTTCCAGAATTCCCCTGTCAATATCAAAGAATGAAGAGTAGTTCATCAACGTGAAGACTCTCATTTAAAACAATTTTGGTAATTCTAGGTGTCACGTCTCTCCAATGCCTTTTTGTACCTGCTTCCATTTTGATAAGACACGTCAATTCAGAAGTTCCTGCATTTTTACCTTTTCTGTTAAGGGATGAAAAGAATCATCACAAGGTGACCTGTTACCTACTTGCCTGATTTCACAATGTTTAGGTTGTGGTTCAGATAAATGCATTAGAGAGTGGAGAAGAAACATGTATTCTGCTTGTTTTTTCAAGGGGGGAAAAAAACCCAATTGTATGTGATTGTTTGTTGATGGTGCCACACCTGGTGAAGCACCTGGTAGAAATTAATATTTTGATGGCAAGGCTCATAGTCTCGGTTGGTTCACCCTATATGCAGCTTGTGGAAGGAACAGGGTTTTACGTGGGAAAGCTGCATTAACAAAGAGGGACAAATGGAACTCACTTGGAGAAATCAGCCTGAAATGGTGGTTAGTAATATGTGTAAGGAAAGGATTTATGTAGATGTAGATATACTGTCAGCTTCTTTAGTGTGACTTTTAAGAAATATACGGAAGTAGTAAGTTTTGTTAACCTAATCAAATAGATGTCTGTGACCAGGCTTGTATGTGTTACAAAAAAAAATCCAGTGTGTTATACTTCATTGCTTGGGTGAGCTGAGGATTATTTTTTTTTTAGCTTCTCGGTCACAAATGGTTTGACAGTTGGGGTTTGTTTTGTGTTGTTTTGGGGTTTTTTTTGTGGGGTTTTTTTTGTTGTTTTTTAAGTTAGAATCTCTGCAGTCTATTACAGGCCAGCCTGTAGGGCTTTTGAAGGACTCTGTGTCTAAGCCATGATACCACTTTTAAGCTATGAGGGCATTGTCGTCTTTATTATTCTGCTGCTTT